ATGAATACAGCAAATATAGTGGTTTGTAGCAATTAGTAGCTTCCAGTATTAACAACAGGATGGCTTATCTRTATATTATAAAATAAATGTTAATAGTAACAATATTGATTAATGTCTGTGTTGGATTCTTTATTTATGTCTGTAAAATCTAGATTATATTATACCTGGTATTATAGATTTTTATATAAAATTAATATTCTAAAGATGCTAAAGGTATATCCATATATATATATAAAGGGTTAACCATTTAAAATTTTAATAATACAATAAAATTAATTTTATGTAAATTTTATTTGTAGAACAAGGTTATGATTTGGAAATGAAAGATTTTTTTGGCAAATTCACCTTGGATGTTATTGCAACTTGTGCATTTGGCGTAGAATCGAACTCATTAAAAGATGMGAATGGTGGTTTTGCCAGTCGTGTATCTAAATTTGCTACCTTGAGTATTATGAAACGTCTAACCCTGTACATAGTACTACTCTTTATGCCTGGTATTGCTCGATTCGTTCCATTATCTTTTTTTAACATGGAAGTGATACAATTCTTAGCTAATGTGATCAAAGAAGCAAAGAAATGCCGACAATCTACTGGTCAAAAGTATGTATATAATCATATTTTATGCTTGTTAAATCTAAAACATGGCTTTGTTATACCTAATGATAAATCATTGTTTATAAAAAATATTCTAATTTAACAACAATTAAAATTTATTTATTTTTAAATATTCAGGTTTTTTTTTAATTTTAATTACTGTACCTAAATRTTAGCTGTTTTATTAACTTGACTGCTCAAAATGTATAAAGTATCATAAAYAAAATGTTAATAAAGTTTTCTTTTATGATTATAAAAAACAATAGTGTTATAATTAATTATTTCTGCTTATAGTTAATAAATTATAGAAACATTGACTAAAAATGCTAAAAATAATTTTTTTCTGATTTTTTGTAAGGCGAAACGATTTCTTGCAGTTATTACTGGATAGTGAAACTGATTTAGATAAAAATGATAAATCAAAATCAAAAGAAGGTAAATACATTTTTAAGTTTTTACTAGATACTGTGTTTAATTTAAAAAAATAATAACAAATAACTATTATACCCAACACAAAACATTTATCTTATAATGATCATAAAACTTATTTACCAACAACTAAAAATAGTGAATTGGGATTGATTTTAGATGTATTGACTGAAGCTCAAGTAGTTGCTCAATCTGTATTGTTTTTGATTGCTGGGTTTGAGACGTCAAGTACATTGTTGACTTTCACTTGTTATGAGTTGGCAATAAATCAAACCATACAGGTTAAACTAAGAGAGGAAATATGTTCAGTCTTAAAACGATTTAATGGCAAATGCACTTATGAAGCGATGCAAGAAATGCCTTTATTAGACATGGTATTGATGGGTATGTAGTATCATGCTAGTCTCATACCTAAAATTGTAATCAAAAATCATTATCAAATTCATATATATTTTTTTGAAAAAAAAAAACTTATTTCTATTTAGAAACCTTGAGAATGCATCCACCTGTGGCACAATTAGAACGTGTGAGTACCCAAGACTATACGCTGCCTGATTCCAACTTATTACTGAAAAAAGGTAT